CTTCATATTCCTATTGTGCACGCTCATGACGTCAGCAAACATATCCTTCGAGAAAAACATTTTCCATCGGGTTGAAAATGTTATAAAACAATTGGTTCATGCGTCAGCTGTGCGTTCATCGAGATATGAAGCACCTGGGAAATTTAGAGAGCACTCAAGAAGCTAGAGTTTCTCTCGGCTACGTCTCGAGCAACTCTTACGCATCTTTCGTGCTCTTCAAACTTCCCGCGTGCTTCATATCTCGATGAACGCACGCTAACGTATGAACCAATTGTTAATTGACGTAAAATTTTCAGAAAAATTTCACTGTTCCTGAACCCAAGAATAAAACAAACGCTAATTTAAATGTGTGCATCCATTTTCATAGACAACACCGTATCCTTTATAATAAACTTTGCCGTTTGGGTTAAACAAGGCTTACAAGAAATTTCTTATTTTGATACGGCTTAAATTTTTTTGAGTTTTCCATTAAAACGACTCGCATTCAGAAAGATATGATATTGATGTTTGGCGCCATAAGTTTCGCTGCTTGCCGACAGCTGGTGATGAGGAACAACTTCGGGAGCGTCTTTAATTTCTGTAAGCAATTTATAGATCATGATCAGAAAATCTAACCACGAATATACGAGGCATGAAGAAAAATCACTGCACTTATCTTCAATAGCTAGAATGTTGTGTTATCGTTTCTACCGAAATTTTGTGAGATAAAGAAAGCATTGCGAAAGAATTCCCTCTTTAGCGTTAGCATATAAATACTTATTAATGTTTAATTGTATGGGCGCCACTATAATAACTTCTGGCTCAGAGCATATTGTAGAAAAATTGGAAGGTTCTTAATTTGGTCGCTGGAATACAAAAACGCGATCAATTGGAGGATTAATTAAGATGTAGAAATGATAAATCATGTAAACCAAAAGATTCACATGGCTGCATGTGCCACTATTCAGTAACTCCACCAAAGACATCAATACTGCCTTTTCTTTTTCTTTTTTTTTTTTTAATGAAAACGTAAACATAAGTCTAGTTTCTTCCTCAAATGTTGTCATTGTTTTGACTAATTGATAACAGGGCTTTGTGTCGTCCAATTCTGTCTGTAATCATACTCGTGATTTACAAATCGGACACCCGCTTCGCGGTCTTCCGATTTTGTTAATCACTTGTTTGATTGCAGACCGAATTGGACTCCACATTGTCCTATTACCATTATTACCTGTGTACAGTGGGGGAGAGAGTTGAGGTACATGGGTGCATGATTACATATAATTTTTCACCCTATTAAGATAATGTACCCTAAGATACATTCAGGTGCACATATTCAAAACAATTGAAGAAGATTTCATTCAGATCAAATCTTTCTTCTGAGCTAATCACATTTGGATGCAGGTTTAACTGGAAATAAAAATAACATTCATCAGAGGCAATATGTATCTTAACTTAGCAAGAATCTTTCCATTTTTCCCTACTCAACAAAATATTGACTTGGATACGAGTAAATCATCTGACTTAACGCGTGACTTATTGCGTGACTGTAGATACTAAACATATCGCGTTCTGTTGATAATCGTCACGTGACTACCACAGTGAAGGGAGCCGTTACAAACAACCTTGGCGCAGCCTGATCAGTTCCACTAACGTTGTGAATGAGATATGCCAAAATATGAATCAAGAACTGGGTAAACTGTGGTAGCTGTGAATGCAAATGACAGAGTTCAACTCTGATTTACTTACAGAGAATAACCAAAATATGTCTTCTCCACGATGATTACCAAGAGTAGGACAGAAAAACCATTAGCGTCATATGCCATTCGCCTAAAGAGCGAGCATTGGACTTTGCAACCGAAACTTTAGGGTGCGCTTTCTCGAAGGATACTTGCAGATTTTCTATATCCTAGGCTCGTTACACAAAAATGACAACTACTCTATGGTTCTCGAATGTTCATGATACGTGATCGAGACCCACGAGTGATTAAAAACAGCAGGAAAATTCAAACAATAACGTATAAATAAAACACCCAACCACTACCCCATAAGGAATGAACCCACAGTCCTTCTCCGGCCAAAAACAGAAAACTTTCCTCATACTTGTAGACGAGAGACAATGTTCTTTCGTCCTCAGTGTTAGATGAGGTCAGAGAAGGTGCGTGAAGAGATAAAATGCTTAAAGTGAGAGCCGACTGCAATAAACGTTGTAATGGTATGAACAATATGTTTTTTTCTTTGGTTTTTTTGTTTTCTTGTTATTTTTTTTCTTTTTATGGGGGGAAGGGGGGGGGGGGAAGCGTACTTTAGAATGAATAGCGACCTCTGAGTAGTAATGACAGTCATTTCTGATGCCTGGAGCGGCAGGGAACCATATCGAGTTGAAATGCTTGGGGAATTCTTGTGACTTTTAGTGTTGTCAACCAGTAAATTGCGTGCATGTTTAATCATGACAATCATGAGATATTTTAAAAATTAATTCATTTATTCGTACGGTTTACATCATTTTACTGTTTTGTGTCGTTTCTTCCCAAAATTACTTTTTCTATTGACCCAGCTGGATTGCCTTTGGATATATGTGGTCTAACGTAAACAGATTGATGAAATTAAAAGAGAAGATTTTCATGTAATTCACTATATTCGTTATATAATTCATTATGAATTACTGATCTGTTGAAAATTCACTTAAAAAACCTTTGTTAGTTTATTTGCTTGGAAGAATTTAATTAATTGTTTTCCCGGCTACTGTGGACTCCGTGCATGAACTTTTTTTTCCATCAAACTGACCATTTCCTGTTACTTTTAGTGCTGTTGGATGAATAGATTTGAACTATTATTCTAGCACAAATAATTCAACCCTCAAACATGGCCAGCCATGGTATGTGACAGGATAGAACCGAACGTATCTGGCTTTGAATTCATTTCTGAGTGAATGCTTCACGATGTTGTTGTGGTCTGAGTTTCCTTGGAACACCTGAAATAAAGCAAAGAGAAATAAACCAGTTCAACTAAAGCTCATATTCTTTTTTGACAACTCTCTGTTATACTCTACCGAACGGTTTTAATTGTTCGCCCCCGTGTTTAATTGTTAACCCGGGCCCGGTTGTTCAAAACCGCGATTAAACTAATCACCGATTAGGCCTAATCGGCGATTAAATTTCTTAATCGTGGGTTAGTTAATCGTTGGTTAAAAAACGGTTGTTCAAAGGGAGATTACTCGGTCGATTTACTAATCCGCGATTAAGCATAAAATGAATTATATTAATTAATTATAATTTATTTTGTGCCAGTTTACGTCATAAAATTGCCGGAAATTTATTTTTGTCAATATGGCTTCTCCAGCGAAGAAAGTGCGGAAAGCAAACTTTTCACCCACTGAAATTTCCGTTTTAACGGAAAAATTTGAAGAAAATATGGACATTCTTCAAAGTAAATTTACCAACAGTATAACAAATGCAAAAAAAAAACAAGATTTGGGAAGAAATCTCGGAGGCGGTAAACGCCGTCGGTGTGACAGCAAGATCAACGCAGGAAGTACGAGACAAGTGGAAAAACCTCCAGAGTCACGCAAAAAGAGAATTCAGTTCCTTTAAAAGTGAACAGAAGAAGACAGGTGGTGGCCCTGCTCCCCCGAACCCATCAGAAGCCAGTTTAAACATTATTGTAATACCTCTCAATGTCCATACCTTGCATAAAATGTATACTTCGCTAACAAACACAAAGCAAAGTGAAAATTAACGGACTTTAGACTTTTGTTTCTTTCTTATTTTCTTTTACATGTACTCCCATGTAAACAAAAAAACAAATGGCGCCCGAAAAGTCTGCCTTGCTCTTAATTCTTCGTCTGTATATCCATCTATCGTGAAACCGATGCTCCTAAACTCTCTTTGCTTCCTTTTTCTTCGCCCATCAACACCAACACAACCATACAACAAGTCAGCCATGTTGTGATTTTTATTTTTTAATCTGCCGATTAAGGATTTAATCCACCTAGCGAGCAGGGTTAGATTTAACCCTTGGTTTGATCGAAGGTTAGGAATAATCGGGCTTTGAACAACAGAAACTAATCGGCGACTTAAATTTAATCGGCGATTAGCCTATTTAATCGTGGATTAGCGCTAATCGCAGTTTTGAACAACCGGGCCCTGGTGTGGAAACGAAACTGGCGCCCAGGCTCGCATCAAAATCGCCCGGTCTCGTTAAATCCGGGTTCGGCGCCCCAGAACGGAATTAAATTTCCGTTTCTTTTTTTCAATCTGTACTTTTAATTTGTTCCAAATTGATTTGTTTATTACTCAGTTGTAAATATCATAATCATAATCATAATCTGCAAAACAAAGGACAATCAAGGATAAAGACAAAAGAAGAAGCAGAAGATAAGTTAGACATTGGTCGATAAAGCCTTTCCCTCTTGAAAAGCGTAGACGACACAACATGATGTTACACTTTATTAACTTTCATGGAATATTTATTGGTTAAAATATACAAGGTTGCATATTTTATCTCAATCATTTTAAACTAATTGATATTATGTTAACAAAACCAGAGAGAAGAATTTCTGTAGCTCTTTAGTTACGGTAATGATTCGATTCAGCGCCTTTGGCGCTTATCTACTTTTAGTACCTTTTAGGGCGCTTATTAGGGACAGGGCACATATTCGTTTTTCGAAGAAAAGCAGAATGAGCAAAGCAAAGCTTTGATGTTTATTTAAAAAGGACCAAGAAGACTTGAAAACGGACTTGTTGTCCCTGGATCTTTCTTGGTGGGAACGACCAGCCAAGCAAGCGTCGCAAAATTTTAAGACGAGATGATTCGTTGGAAAGGACTCTACACTCATGTGGATATAACAGTTGAGAGACGGAGACGAAGACCACTGTTTTTGTAATAAAGCTTTCAGTAAGCAATCAAAGGAATATGAACCATGAAAAATCTTAATGGAAATGTACTTTAACAGCGCTATCACCAAAACAGAATAGGGTCGCTAATTGGAATAGCGGACGCCAAATAGAATCATTACGGCTCTACTCTTTCCATACCTTTTCAATATTTTTTTCTTTGAAAGTGTTCCAGTTTATACCGTCTGTGGACAGGTGAACTTTGTAGGTGGTGGTTCGCTGACCTTCTTTCTGGTTTCCTTGTGTGGCCAAAGCACAAACATCGAGCACTGTACCCAAATCAACTTGAAGATAGTCTGTTCTGTCAGAGCTAGTCTTTGTACACCACGCTCCGTTCCTCCTGTTTTCATGGAGTCGGCCATAGTAGGGATAATAGTCTGTATTGTGAAAACTGCTCGCTGTCATTCTAGCATCTGGTATTCTGTTCCTGTCCGCCACACCAACTGACTTACATACTAAATAAATATAAGTAATACAGGGCCTTGCATGAGCATAAAAATTTACGGAAGTAGATTCCTGACTCAAATAAACTTTTTGTCTTGCCCTTCTATTGTTTGTTTGTTTATTTCTTTGTTTGCTTTCTTGGATTTTTTCAACGTTCCTTTTGTCTCATTGCCTTTCAATTTTCGAAAATATCAGGTTCCTCTGTCGAGAATAAAATCGTAGCAAATATTAACTTTAATGCATTAGCGAGGTAGTTGAGCCGATAGGAAATTTAATGAGCAATTGCCAGCTAATACTGATTTATTAACTTTAATGTTTGAGTTAAGTAACAAGAAAAACTAAAAAAAAGGACAAAACAGCCCAAGGAATTAATTTATATTCAATCCGCTGCAATCATCAAAATGTCAAATTGCTTGTCTTAAAAACTTTTCAAGCTATGGTTTATTAAGACCGTAGTTGTAAAGCACATTAACCCAATTCTAATGAGCTAAAATTCTGCAGGATATTGCTCTATGTTAAAATAATTTTCTCCAAAACATTTCAGATGTAATTCTAGTGAGCTGAAACTTTGCAGAATATTGCTCTAGGTTGAAATCTTGTCCCAAAAGCTTTCCAGATGCTTCAAACCAACCAATCACCATTCGTATACTTGATAGGAGTCTTTAAGGCAAGAACATTACAACCAAACTGATAAATCATTTTCCATAAACTCCTCGTAGTCAAATAACCCAACGCTAGACTCTGATTATGAAATCCGCCCAGAATACAGTCACTGTGACCTGTAACATATATTTCTTAAGGTTTGTCTTAATTCTTGAAGGAATTTATAGATCTTTGTGTAACAAATAAAATGTTGAATAAAGCCATTCCTTACCTTTCCTAAGGGTCAGTTGCATTGAAGAAGACGTTTTGAACAGTTGTGCTGATGTGGCTGTACAGATATATATGCCCGAGTCTTCATCCTTAATATTCCATATCTGAAGTGTTCCATCCACACTGACTTGCGATCTTCCGACTGGCAAATCACCGTTCTCTTTAACCCACGTGATTATTGGTTGAGGGTCACCAGCGGCCTGACAAGGAACTGAAATATTTCTGTCTTTTCCTACATCAACCTTTGCAGGTGGATTGACTGTAAAACGGGGCAGATCCCAGACAACAAGATTTGTCAAAGCTGAGTCATGGCCTAGAATATTGGAGGCTTTGCATTCATACAAATAAGAATCTTAATTTTGAGCACTGATAATTGACAGCTCTCCGTCTTTCACAACTGTTCTGGAATGTGCAAGTTCACCGCGCCCTTTAGACCACGTGATGATTGCCGGAGGAAAACTTGTCACATGACATTTTGGTAAAGTGACGTTCTTGCCCTTCTCTACATACGTTGGACCGAAGGAGAGTGAAATGGTAGGTTTACCTGTATATGAATGGGATAAACATTATTATATAGAATTAAGATAGCTACTGTCGCTTGTGTGGCTCCCATACTAAAATCTTGTCCATCTTTAGAGCTTTATTTTTTGAAGTTTTATCTGATTCTAATATTTTGCTCACAACAACTTTAAAATTTTATATACTGTTGAACCCCAGAATTTTGTATCCCTCGAGCTGCCCAAGGAAAAACGTCAATAAAAGACAATTTTTTTCAAACTTCAGAGGCGTAGGAATCGTGTGGACATAAGATGGAATATTTAGACCTACTCTGAACGACGAGAATGGCAGTTTTTTCATCCTCTCCAAGAATATTTCGCGCTATGCATTTGTAGGCGCCTGCATCTTCCATCCGGACACCAGAGATCTGCATCAGACCATTTGACGTCACTTTGATCCTGTTGCTTTGAAAAGATCCATTGATCTTCGACCAGAACATTTGAGCCGCAGGGTTTCCCGAAGCAGAGCATAAGAACGAGGCTATTTTGCTTTCGTTGACGACTAGTTTCGGTGGAGAAATTGTTACTTTTGGGGTTGAGATGGACTCTCCAGGTTCACCTTTAGTCCCTGGGATACCAGGGATACCCGGTGGCCCGATGTCTCCTTTTATTCCATTCTGTCCTCTTATCCCCGGTGGTCCCATGGTTCCTTGTTTTCCGCTTCTTCCCGGTGGTCCCATGCTTCCCTGGGATCCTTTTCTTCCTTTTCTTCCCTTGTCACCTTTGGGTCCAGCTCTCCCTGGAGGTCCCGGCCGGCCACGAGGACAAACATTCAGACCAGTTTTGTTGTGGCAAATCTTCCAAGCGGAATAAACGATGTCCTCTATCATTTTCCTCATCTCAGCCGACTTATTTAAAGGGGGTGGATGTGAAATACTACGCTTCAGTCGATGGATTTCAAGCTCGGCAGAGGTGGTTTGTATGACTGAAAATATATCAAATAAATCAATAAAAAAGGCGAGTAACCTAATAAGACCCTTCATTGCCATCTCAAATAACACGATAACGATCCAAGTTCAACTGCAAACACAAGAAGGAAACGACAATTTGACCGTAGCGAGGACAGAAATCCTTTCCAGTTATCAAAAGTGACGTTAGAGAAATTTTAATTTAACCCCTCGTCAAATGGCTCGTGTTTATCTCTTGATTTGATTTCTCCACAAATATAATCATTTCGAGCATGACGAGCGGTTAAATCAATATTTTAAGGCTTAGGTTTACAAGAGTCTTGACGAAGAGATTTGCTTTCTTGCTCACCAAGAGACTTAGGAGAAAGCTTTTGTTTCTTGTTGACAAAGCAGTGGGCAACACATCGATTTTATTAATGTCGCCATTTAAAAAGAGTGCATTGTTTACCTTGAAAACCTCTGCGTTTTAATCCTTGGCAAGTCTCCAAATTATTTCGTAAAGAAAACGAGAGAATGGATATCATTTAAAACAAGAGTCGTCCATATCGTTAGCTTTGAATCTACGTCGTTAGATATACGGTATATATGTTGATATCTCAGTGAAAAGAAAATAAGACAAATAAGTCTCGTTCCTGTTGTGCTAAAACGGAAGTCGGAAGACATGACCATTAGCTCTTGAGTACTTTTTATCAAAAGCTTAAACCCCTAACAGTTTAGAGTAACTTGCAACTTACATAAATAACTTTAAAGAGCACGACCAGCCACAAAACAGACACAATAGCAATTGAAATAAAGACAGTCGGATATTACCTTGTTCAGAGGGAGGGAAATCCGTCCTCGCTTGTGTCATTTTATCTTGAGGTATGAATTCCTCAACAGTTTTCAACCTTCGTTCATACTCATTGAATTTAGACTCGTTTCGAATGAATCCAGCGAGGTAAAGAAGCAAACAGAAAACGCTTAGAACTGTGCCGGGGCTCATTGGGAAAGTACGCTCTTTAAGAGACATTACGAGAGCTGAATGATCGAACTTTCTCGAAAACAGCTTTATTTAGCATGTTACATAACCTCACACTGCCTAAATTTAAATTTAGATTAAGGTCAGTAAGCCAGACCGTTATTTGATAGCTAGAAAGACGTCATAAATAAGGGACGCTACGTTTGTCTCGGTTGTCTAGTACGATCTGCTTTTTAAAAGTTATTGATTTGATTGAACGGGGGCGATCAATTTAATAGTGAGACAGACTGTATGGTTAAGATTCCTAGCCTGAAGAATTCTCCAGTACAGTTCGCTAATGTATCATATCTAACCTCCCGTATTCCGCGAAGCTTTCCGGACAGTTTCTCTTTCCCCATGATATCAACCGACCTAGGTCGGGGGCACGTTGTGTGACTTAGTAACGAAATTTTATCCAGAAACACAAGACATAACACACAAGTTATGGCCTGGATCGGGTTTAAACCAAGACTTTTCCATCTAGAGGGAATAAGCTTAATGTACAGTAGTTGCCTTTCAGTCACTTGGTCCCTAGTCGCCAAGTCTGTCAAAATTATACTGTAATCTTTTGGTTTGCCGATGGAGTCGAGAAATTGTTTTCACAAGAATTAAGGTTAATGTTTATCAATACCTTTCGTGAGACGCACACCTTTGAATCTACTCGAATCTACACTCACACTTTTTGAATCTAATTAAATCTTCCAGAACCTGTAATAAGGAAGAAAAGGTAGTGATATTTTGCTTTCTTAGCAAAGGAATAAGCTGCGCAACATAAGGGCCACCACGAGATGGAAACGAATGCGGACCTTATTCTGCTGACTGTTGGAGGAATGAAAATCTACCTTACCGGGGTTGGGATGAGGGGGGCGTTGTCAGAATATCAGTGATCACCGATCAAGTTTTGTATCACGATCAAACTTGACGGTTGTTTTCCATCGAAGCTGTTGTGGTTCGACTGGAATTTGAAAAAAAAGGCGTAGTAACCGTTACTATGCCTTTTTTTTCAAATTCTTTTGTGAGTGGGACACACAAAAAAAATCATGGAAGTTGAATTACTGTTGTTTATTGCAACTTTAATTCCTTCTTAACTAGATAACACACCGGTGTCTGTGTAACAGTTCAAATAAATTATCTGATGCGATTAATTAATCTTTCATTTCATGAATCAAATTCCAAAGAGGTTTAAAGATCATTTTGGTGGATTCAGCTATTAATAGCAGCGAGTGCTTGAAAAACAGATCCTAAGTACTAAATGGACATGAAAACTTTTTTCTCCTTAAAAAGCGAATCTATCATTTTAGGAGTCAAACTATCATCTGTAAATCGCGTTCGTGCGACAGCTTTACTACTTTTCTTCACTATGTAGTGATGTTGAATAGTCACCCATGGCTATTAATGTGGCATAGGGAGCTGCTCTTGGTTTGTTTTAGCATACTCCTATATTGGTTCACGCATGTCTGACGGGTTGATGTTGTTCTCTTACAGATCTGCTTTGTTTTTGGATGAGCACTCTGTTTTTAAGTTGCAGGTATCCATGCCTCAGGAATCTCGATTTTACAGTATCTCTAAATTTTATTTTCACAAAGCATTAACTTATCAGAAAAGAAAACTAACACCGATAGCAGCTAATCATAACGCTTAATCAAGAAGCAACAGTGAGCTCACATATCTTTCAGTGGAGATCTGGAATACATTTTCCATTTTACCTTTATTCTGAATAACTGTTTTATTTTACTGTAACGAAATGAATGTAGCAAGGGGCGGATCTAAGGGAAGGTGCAGGGGTGCACACCAATCTTCCCCTAAGATGACCGGCAACTTTATTAAATAACTTGTGTTGTGCAAAATAAGAAAAACAAATAATGATGATAAAATGAAAAAACAAAACTGTGTGAATTATTGGCATTGAAATAGAACACGAGGTTAGAGAACTTATGTTAAATGCGGTCAAAATGATAGGTTGGCGTTGACTTTTCGAGCGTCAGCCCTTATGTTGGTCAGAGGAGAGGTTCGTCAGTTTTTCTCCTGTTTTTGTGTCAATGAATGTCTACACTTATACGAACCCTTTGACGTATTACTTAAGCTCAAATATTTCAACTCTCAAACATGGCCAATTATGGTATGTTACAGGATAAGATAACCAGCGGCTTTCCTATATAAATAGTATTGTGCAAAATAATAATATGAAAAACAAAACTGTGTGAACTATCAGACCCTCTGTTCGTCAGAGGACACGTCAGTTAGGTGATTCCTTTGTGGTGCACCCACTCCTTCGAAACATCCTGGATCCGCCCCTGGGAATGATTAGTTTGTTAACTGAATAAGTTTATTAGTTTACTTGCAAATGTTTGTTTTCCTACTTTAAGACTGTTTGTATACTTTTTCTCCTTCTGTTTTTATGTTGATGCACAACTACACACATACGAACTCTTTACCGTATTACTTAAGCACAAATATCTCAACCCTCAAACATGGCCAACGATGATATGTTACAGGATAAAACCGAACGTATCTGGCTTTGAAGTCAGTTCTGAGTGAATGCTTCACGATACTGGTCCGATCTGAGTTTCCTGTGAACACCTGTAAAAAAACAAAAAACAAAACAAAAAAAAGAAATTGAACAACTTGGTATGGTGCACCAATTCTATATACAGTTAAGTAAGGAGGCGCTGGGAGGAGGGGGAGGGGAGGTGTGGGGGCCATTTGAACAGGTCTTAACTGCTCACATCTCTCACGCAACTTTGTCTTCTATTGCATTGCGGCCCAGCCTTTCCAAACGGTGTTCATTTTTCCGTCACTTTTTTCACCCTTTTTTTATTACGGATTTTTTTATTACTCATCATCCGATAGCCAAAGGTAGATGGTCAAGGTGACACGATTTTTTCCTTTATTGAGCTGCAAGACGGCTATTGTTGAGTCTTTTCCCGGATATAAATGTTGCTAACATTTAAGCTATTGTTTGCAGCATGCACATATTATGTCACTATCATGATTTACGAACAAAAAAACCAAACAAAACAAAACAAAAAAACAAAAACGAAACAAAGTCATATGAATCCACGACAAAGACAAGGTTAGGGACAGAATAAGAGACGGAACCAGAGACTTCCTGTCTCACGAAATCGGGAAAACAATTTCATGCGAAATGCTTTAGTTAATATATCCTGGATGGAAAAGTCTTAGCAGTACATTGCGCGACTAATTTCTAAATCTCTTCGACCTCATGCAGCACACGAAAGAATAGATAAACTACACTTTCTTAAGTCTTTGAACCATTCTATAAAAGACGCATCAGACGCCTTTCAGAATTTTCAAGCAAACTCGTCATACTACACAAGCTTGTCATCTCCGATGACATTTTCTGCTGCAGTAGCCAATGGAGTTACACACCCAAATTCAGCATCTAAATGTATTTCTGTTTGCTAATTATTTGCATTGGCTTCAAACTCTTTTTTAATTGCTGATATTAAAATGTCAATAACAGTTCTCTCCATACCTTTTCAATATTCGTTTCCTTGTAAGTGTTCCAAGTTATATTGTTTGTAGATAATTGTAGTCTGTAGCTAGTGGTCCATTCATCGAGCGCCAATTCTCCTTGTGTGGCCACAGCACAAACAGAACGCACTACGCCCATATCAACTTGAAGATAGTCTGTTCTATCAGTTGTACTAAGAGGACACCACCCTCCGTTTCCCCTGGTTTCGTGCAGTCGGCCATAGTATGGATAGTAAGAACTACCGTAAACACTGCTCGCTGTAAATCTGGCATCTGTAATGATATTATTGTCTGTCACACCAACAGGCCCACATTCTAAATAGGAGTAAATGAAATAAACAGTAAGGCTTATCTTTAGCTGTGTTTATTGTTTTTCTTCCCTATATAGAACAAAATGAAATAACTAGTAACGACTTTGAGTGAAAAAGATAAGAATACTAAACGTTACTAACAAGCAGCGTAAAATTCATAAACGTCAGGTGACCCACACAATTTCTTTGCGTCACCTTAACGCGCTTTTATAAGTAGCCTCACAACTTTTTCTTTAAAAACTATTATTTTCTGTCACACTAACAGGCCCACATGCTAAATAAGAGTAATTGAAATGAACGGTGAGGCTTGTCTTTACCCGCCTGTTTTTGTTGTTTTTCTTCCCTATCTAGAGCAATATGAAATGACTAGTAAAGACATTGGGTGCGAATCATGCTGAGATGGTTGGAAAGGATAAGAATACTACACGTTAGTAACAAGAAGCGTAAAATCCATGAATGTCATGTGACCCACACCATTTCTTTTCGTTAAGTCAACGCGCTTTGATAAGTAATCTAACAACTTTTCTCTATCAATTATGTATCACAATGCTGAACAACGTTTTTATGTGAATTTTAAACTTACATTCTCATGAGAGGATTAAAATAGAAATTGAATTTCCTCCCTCTTAGATTCCTTTACGGCCCCCTTTGCCCAACATTAAGCGAAGGCGAGGCAAAGGAGACCGTAAAGGATTCTATTCGGATGATAATGATGATGATAATGAAAATGACAATAACAACCTTACCTCTGCAGCTGTTTTGTCCGTCTCCGATAAATCCCGGTTTGCATGTACAGTTATAAGAGCCCTCAGTGTTGTTACAAATGGCATTCACATGACAACCATGCCGGCCTTCCTTACATTCGTTGATATCTATGGATAATCATTTGTTATTTAATGTCGTTCCTTCATCTACTTGTTCAACAAGAACTTTAGCAGAAACTTTTCCAACAAAATAAAAACCTTTTTGACAATATTTTCCCATCTGTGCATGACTCAAACAAAACATTAGGTGAAGGCGAGGCAAAGGGGCCGTAAAGGATTCTAATCGGATGATAATGATAATGAAAATGACAATAACAACCTTACCTTTGCAGCTGTTTTGTCCGTCTCCATTAAGTCCCGGTTTGCATTTACAGTTGTAAGAGCCCTCAGTGTTGTTACAAATGGCATTTACATGACAACCATGCCGGCCTTCCTTACATTCGTTGATATCTACGGATAAGCATATGTTAGTTTAATGAAGTTCCTTCATCGAATTTGATCTGCATGAACTTCAGCAGAAACTTTTTCAACAAAAGAAAAACCTTTTTCACAATATTTTCCTGTCCAACCAGATGAGTTACATGCGCACGAGTAGTTGGTTTCACGGTTCACACACTTTGCGTCGTTTTGGCATTGGTGCTTGACACAATAGTCTGCAACTAGTCAAAAAGAAAACGGTTAAGAGAAGGTCTTTCAGTAGCACGAAGGCAAATAGGCATGGAATATTTGTTGTACTAACCTTTTGTCTTCATGTCGCAGCGAGCTAAAATAGAGTTCCCAGATCTTGTAGAATCCAACCAATAATTACCGCTAACTGCTTGTTCTCCTTCACTCGCCTTGATTTCCTTGCACGATTCAGCAGGCAGCTCACGCATTGATCCCAAAGGAACTAAAATGGTAATGGATCACTTTAGCTGAAATAAGCGCACCCTACTAATTTATATTTACCTCGTTTTGGACCTTTCGCCATGTAATATCTGTACTCGTCCTTGACAAAGTCCTCTGGTCTGGCCTCTTTAGTTCGGTTGTTTAACTCACAGATTGCAATGAACGTGACGACATTAAAGCTTTGACATCTGTCATCAGCGAGACAAATGTCTCTGCATTCGGGCGTACCTGGTGTAGTCTTGAACGTCTTATAGGTATGGCCTTTAAGCATCATTTGATAAATCGAGTTTATTCTGTGACATTGTCGACAAGCAATGCCACGGAACATGAGAGAAATTAAAAACAGCGCGGTAAAAAACGAAGCTTGTCGAGCAGCCATATGAAGAATAACAGATCTATGACACCTGCGAAAATATGGTGAGCATTTTAATTGAAAAAGAATTAAGTAAAAGGGCGGGTTATTGGACAAGTCCGAGGGAGTATGGGAAAGCTGGTGAAGTCCTAAAAAATTAATGAGCAAGAAAAATATTGAAAATAAGCTTACTCAAAAGTACTTGGGAAATACATAGAGAATATTACATGAGCGCGCGTAAACATGGAATTTCTCTTCGAGTGTTTAACTCGATAGCAACCATGTATTATTTTGTTTATCATATAAACACAGTGAATGAAAATATGAGTCGACAAACCCCGAATGACAACCGCAGAGTGCGTTGGCGCTAACTCCTAAGATGGAAAAATGCGTTGAATCATGATAACAAAAACAACAATGGTCGTAATTTTCTTTTAGTATATTGGTTTTCTTCTCCCTTCTAGGAAAGTTTGAACCTCACTGTCTGTCAGCGATACGGATTTTTTTAAGTGTTTTAGCCGCCCTAATTCACGAAAGCTCCGATAAACAACTTGTTTTGAGAATCGTGAAGATTTTGCCATTCATTCATCAACCTGACCGAGTGGCGCCAAAGGCAAGTGACGTTCAGTAGCTGATTGGCTATATCAACACACGTAAAAAATACGATATTTTTTCAAGTGTGTTGTTGCAGCTTTTCTCAGGGCCAGACATCCCTGTAGAGCACCGCAGTTTATGTGATAAAGTATCATATAAAGCAAGTTCGTCGAGGCGGACTTGTAGTTTTGACGTTCCATTTGAAATTAATGACAAAAGAGAAATAATCATCCACTCCAATGTTTCTGAGGAGAAAATTCCTCCATGGGTAATTAAAAAAAAACGAAACGTTGTCCTTTTAGACTCCGTCTCACCTCTCTCTACTCTTAAAGTCTTTTTCACAAGCCGCTAGTTTACGAGAAAAGAGACTGATATGGCAATTTAATTTTCCTTCAAATTTTTACAGCTTGCACGTGATATCAAGAAGATGGGATGATAAATCAAACAGTCTTTGTTCAAAAGCTGAAAGGTTTTACATGGAGAAGTATCTACGAGGAAAGGAAAAATGTGGAGTGGTTTTCACTGGACTTCCCTCGTGACATCAGGCGAAACATCCGTTTGATCTTCTATTTAAAATTATTTTATATTTCGAAACGTGAAAAAACTACCTAATAAGAAAACTTCACAAATAAGCAACATTCGATGATACTTGTGCTTAGTTTTTGCAATGAACTTTGGTCATAGGCTAGCTTATTGTAATTTCAGAGCGTATTCTGCATTCTGTAGGATAAAGAAGGTGATAAAATGCCACTATGGAGGCGTAAGTTTTCATCTAACTTTTCCTGACATAATTCATTTTCGCCTTTTCCAAAATGGCAAAGTTTAAAACAAGATATGAATAAACTTATACACATACCTGGAAAATAATACCCGTTGTTTCTTAAACTGACTCTGATAAGTCTTACTTTGAGGTGTAAAACACTTTAATCCGCAGGTTGCCACAGTCAACTGAAGCTAAAATGATGACTAGAGGGAACTATAAAGTTTACAACGCGTAAGCCCCTGCATAGCATATAATTAGCCACTGTCTTTTCCTAAAGGGGTGGTTATTTGTGATATCAATGGAATGATATGATATACAGTTTTTAACTTTGATTAAAAGATTTCCAACATTTGAAATACCGTTTAGATTCAGATAAATATGAACAGTGTATTTCTCGCACTTGTGCATCAAACGACCACTGAGAAGGATGAGAAAACTATCTGTGCCAGGACTAAGAGAGCTCATTTTAATCTTTTTTCTCGATGGAATTAACTGTGTACTCTTTCATTGATAACTACACGAGGTAAACATAACAATAAAATAATATTAAGCTTTTAGGGATAAAAACCAAGTTGTTTAATCTTCTTGCTTGTTTTTTTAAAGCACGGCTCTTAAGACCCCTTGGCGATGATCAAGACATCTAATATACCCTTGGAACACTTCACTTTAAGACGCTCTTAAACAATTAGATATAATGATGGTTACCGTACTCGTTTTTGAGTTGCAAACATGAAAGGTTAAAATCAAAGATTTTTTAAAAATCTGAACTGTTGCAATATATAACCCTATATATCTGCAAAAATAATTGCAACACGCTAATAAATAGGTTGGATTCTTTTGGTACCATCAAAGTGTTGTCGTTTCGATCCACTTAAAGAATCGTGTTTAAACATCGAAACAAATTTGAACCTTTATAGTGCGGCCAAATAAACAAAATGTAGGCTGAGATGAAACAAATCAGCCCAGATTCTTCGTATTCACATCTATGAGGATGTGGCTAACGATTCAAATGTTGGCCATCTGATTGTTCGGCAAACGAAAATGTTCTTTCCGTTACGGTCGACAGAAATGCTGAAAATTTATTTGAAGCATTTCTTAAAAAAAAATTAACTAATTCATTGTTCAAAAACACATTTACTCACCAGCTTTTACCTTCAGAGGCAAGTGACAAGGCTAATTCCAGATCAAGTCGCTGTTGGATTAATGCAGAATAATTTCCTGTTTGTTTTCTTCCTAATTTCCACAAGGCGATAGAGTTTCGGGTCAAATGACTCTATCTCGAACTTCGTGTCGAGGTATTCGCTCAAATATCTGTTAAATTCTGAAATAGAACGGTGTTCTCCGATTTTAATTCTTTTCCTATATCTTTCAATTGGCTTTCCTTTCCCAGCTCGTTATGAAAAAAATTATGCTTTTCAGGAGAGCCATCACTCGCACAATGAATTAAGAAACTTAAGATCCTAGAAGTAGTCAGCTGTCTGTCAAATCATCCCACACACGCGAAAGGAAGACAGTAACGTTTCGCGGAATATTACTCTGCTAAATGAAATGTCATCAATTTCCTCTAATTTTTGCTCGATTAGAAAGAAATCATTTGTTTTCTTTTTTTTTTTTGTCTGATATTTGTTTTAAGGCCAACAGTTGACCCATTTTTGACATGTTCGGAACCAGGTGCAGGTTACATGATAGTTTCGTAGTCTGCATTATTTTTTAGAATTTTTTTGTGGCCTTTTCAGCAGATTCTTGGGAGCTAGATGTTATCGAAAGTCGTTTTAATTGCAACTCAAAGCTTGGCGCACATTAGAATATTTTCCTAAAGAAATTTCATCAATTTCCTACTATTTGACAGTAATTTTTGATGTTAACTTTATTGTTAACTTTACTCATCGCCCTTTGCAACTTTTCTTTTGCTCGATTAGAAAGAACTTATTCCAGTAAAAGTCGAACCAGTTTGTGGTCGCAGTATTTCAAAGCGGGAACTCTCGGAAAACAATTGAAGCGATAATAGCGAAGCGATGGAAAACAGACGTTAGGCTAAAATATACAAATTAGGCGAGTGCAGTGGGAATTGAGACAATATAGAGGTTCGGTGTGTTTGAGATGAAGCCACATAGAACCTGATCCAGCTTACTTTGTAATCTAGGCGTTCTATGTTGCATTGGCGTGTTTAGCGGGTTCATGAGGATAAGGTATTTTAGAAAGTCATTTCACTTAATTACACAGCCGAATATTGTTTAATCTCCTAAATAACACTCATTTATTTTTCATGATTTAAGAGTGGTATTTCAGACAAAGGTCCGAGCACTACTATTTGCGGTATTTTTTTGGTGTTTACTTTTTTATTTTCTTTACTCATCGCCCTTTGCAACTTCTTTTTTGCTCGATTAGAAAGAAATTATTCCAGTAAAAGTCGAACCAGTTTCTGGTCGCAGTATTTCAAAGAGGGAACTCTCAGAAAACAATTGAAGCGATAATAGCGAAGCGTTGGAAAACAGACGTTAGGCTAAAATATGCAAATTAGGCGAGTGCAGTCGGAATAATATAGAGGTTCGGTGTGTTTGAGATGAAGCCACATAGAACCTGATCCAGCTTACTTTGTAATCTAGTCGTTCCATGTTGCATGGTGCGTTAAGCGAGTTCTTGAGGGTAAAGTATTTTAGAAAGTCATCTCACTTAGTTAGACAGCCGGATATTGTTTAATCTCCTAAATAACACTCATTTATTTTTCATGATTTAAGAGTAGTGTTTCAGACAAAGGTCCGAGCTTCATATCTTGGCGTAAGTTCTCTTATAATAAGAACTTTTGGAAAATAATTTTTCTCGAAAGTTCCTGTTATTGCACATCTTAAAACATCTGCCACATTAAGTGGATCTTAATCTTAGTAATTATCAGTAATAATAGTCAGCTGTCTGTTAACTCATTTCACACACGCGAAAGGAAGACTGTAACGGTTCGCGGAATATGACTCTGCGGGAACTGGGCCAAATGTCTTTGTGTTCCTTATTGGTGTAGACAACCTTGCAAATACATTGCTACAAGACAAGAAGTCTTCGATTTTGAAACATTGACACATCGCACACCTCCAAATTTTTATTTTCTGTTTTGTTTTTTTGTGATATTTGTTTTAAGGCCAACGGTTGACACATTTTTGACATGTTTGGAACAAGGTGCAGGTTACAAGTATTTTAGAGAATCGTTTTACTAAATTAGGCAGCCGAATATTGTTTAATTTCCTAAATAACACTCATTTATTTTTCATGATTTAAGAGTGGTATTTCAGACAAAGGTCCGAGCTTCATATCTTGGTGTCAGCTTTCTTTTGATAAGAACTTTTGGAAAACAATTGTTTTTCGAAAGTGCCTGTTATTACTCATCTTAAAACAACTGCCACATTGAGTGGATCTTAATGTATGATAGCTTGTATGGTTTATGGTTAGAATTTTGACCGGCAAACGTTAACATCTCTCCGTTATGCTTATCAGAAATGTCAAAATTTTATTTCAGTTAATTTAAAAGGTTAAATTAACCTCCAGCAACGTTGTAAAACACTTTTGCTCGCTCACTTTCACCGTCTATCAGAGCTGCTATTTTTTCGATATAGTTTTCAATCTTGGTGTAGATAACCTTGCAACTACATTAGCCACAAAACAAAACCATACCAGGATATGA